CCCCCCCCACAAGAAAATGAAATGCTTTCGCGTGCGCCCTCTGCGGGGGTTTTGAGTTTGGTTCAGTTTGACAAGATGACTCTTGACGCCTTCTTGACTGCCCAATCTGCCAAGATCCGAGGCATTATGGGATCCCCCCTTCTGTGCAACAAGGCCAGGCGTCGTGGTCCGACTCGGATCCTCCACTCCTCGTCGCGGGATCATGGAATCTGCGGGTTTTGGCATGTGCGTACAGTCTCCTTCATCTCATGCAAATTCTGCAATGCTTCCGCGAATCCAGGGTAATGTCCATCGTGATGGACTTCATCGATGCTGCGCAAATGGCTGCTGGGCTCAGGAGGGTTCTGCACATATTTGGGACTGTTCAGACAAGAGTTATCCAACCAAAGCTCCCAAACTGTTAACCTGGAATCGCGCGACGAATGTGATGGCTTGCACCCAGCAGCGGGGTCCTGTGCTTTGCTGTGCCGAGTCTTGTGATCGGGCCAGTTGCAGCTCAATGCTCTTGGAACGCTTGGCTTGTTTCCGTCTGCAATGGCAGCTAAGCCAGCACATTCCAAGCGCAAATCCCAGGTTGTTGCCATGACCGGCGACTGCATAGGCGAACTAGAAGACCCTCCCAACTGTGCCAACGACATCTTCGGCTTCATGGCGATGCTGACTGAATGGTAAGATTATTTCGGGATTTGCAGAGCTCGGCGATGAAGAGCCCTAGCAGGAAGTTCAAAAGCATGAGCATCATGGCGACTGACCTAGCGAAGAACGCGCTATAACGCGCTCCTTTCGATCTGCGATGCACCAGTGCTGTTTTAGTGGATTACCTCCCGGTGTCAGCTGAGACCGACATCGTGGACATCGCGGATTCCTCAGCAGGTTTGGCCATGGCCTGTGCCGGCGAAGTTACGACTTGCGAAGCCTGGCTCAGAAATCGGAGCCTGTCACCAGTCACCATGCCGTGAGGATTTCAAGTCGCTCGATATGCCCTGCACCGCGTCTGTTGCGGCTTCTTGTATCGTGTGCGGAATGCAGGTTCATAGGCGGCATCCTGAAGTAAGGCACAGTTTGATCCTAAGCGGGTTCCGTGTGAGGTAAGATGATGTGGGGATACGACTCTGTCAATATCTCTCTGTCTCTCTGTCTCCTCTCGCTCTCTCTCTGTGTCTCTTTTTCCATCTCCCTCTCCCTCTCTTTTTCCATCTTTCTCTGCCTCGCTGTCTCTCCATCCTCGCCTTTATTGCGTCGCTCCCTCACTCGTTCCCTGCTTTGCTTGCTCTCTGCATTCCCCCACTCTCCCTTGCTGTGCACCCGCACATTACTGTAATGCGTACCAGTGTACCTCGAATATTGCGCAATGCAAGCTCTGGGACTGCTTGGTCGCTTGTCCGTGCGACATGCAGCCAAGGAGCAGATCGTTTCTTGGCAGCAAGTCCGACCTTTCGAATTTGCGGTTCACGCGATATATCGATGCTCCGCATAAGTGTGCATGTCGTCATCGAAGAGTCCCTGCCGGATCCGATTGGAATGTGGGCTCCGGTCTGCCAGCAGAGCACGAGGCAATGGATAACTGCGAGGATGGCATGGGAATCGCGCAGGACCTGATCGGAGCTTCAGCCCCTGGGCCCACGTTGACTGACGCTCCCTCTACGTACTTATCGTACTTGCTTTTAAGTTTTGAAGGCTTGAGCTGTAACTACTCCTGTTTGATCGTCTTCAACCTTCTCTAGCCAATGCGTGCTGTCTTGTTCGGTTAACGTCTTCTACGACTTCGCAGAGTATGCAGCATTCCCCAATGCACTTGGTTGGCGCCCACGGTGTGGTAGACTGTGTAGCCACCTATGCACTTTCAGCAGGCAAGAAACTCCGCCATGAAGGTATGAAGTCGAGAAGCTGAACAGTGGACAAGCGGCTACGTACTACTCTACCACTAATACATGTGAATCGGAAGAGCAAGCTACAGTCAAACACCAAGCCACGAGACCGGGCCATGAACGTTTTGTGTCAGTGCGGTGACGCAGACCATGATTCTGCAACAGGGTATCCAGTGAAGTGGAAGTCAACAAACTGCTGTCACCAGCAGCGCCCTCGATGGTGCGGTAAATAATAATAATAATCATCATCATCATCATCAGCTGCCTCTCCTCCTTTGCCTCCGCATTCCTCTCCTGTTTGCAACTACCTGTCTCCTCATCAAGATACCTCTTCCCAAGATCCAACATTACGCCACAAGCGTGCGTGGTGTTCAGAATTGTTCTCAGAGAGTTGCTGCCCCGGTGTCCAACATAGAGTGCAAAAGACTTTCTAAGGCTAGGAGTCGAGAGTCTAGAGGCTCTGGCTGTCGTGAAGCAAGCAGCCCAAGTTTGATCTCAGGGCAACTGCGACCTTGATGCTTTCCTTTGCACCTTCCGCTGCACTGGACAGAGGTCTGCAAGCCGATGCCATGAAATGGTTTGTCCCGGACCTCGCTTACCTGTTAGGTTGAGGTCGTGTTTGCAGGTTCCTCTGACGGGCTTCGGCTTGGGGGTACAGTAGCTCGTCAATTTTCCGGCTTGTCTCACTTATCTGGAGTCTCGCTGAGGCATCATCAACGTTGTGGATACAGCGAGGGACTTGATCAGCTGGGCAACGGACCTTATCTTGCAGAAGGTTTGAGCGCCTTCAGTTTTGTCTGGTGGCAGTACTTCACGACGACATAGTAGGTGCCCGCGGCTGAGTGGCTGTGCTTGATGAGGGATGCACGTCTCGTTCTTCTGTTTTACGTTCCTGCCGGACAGCATTGGGGAGCCATCCCAGTTGACATTGACTGACAGCTGAGACTGAATCCTTGTTTGACCCAGATATGTAGAGCAGCCTAAAAGGGCTGACAACGTCATGGGTGCACAATTGAACAGGTGCTGCGACAGACCACAGTTCACCGAGAAGCCGAAGCCTAGGTAACCTAGTGTTTACAGGAGGTCAGCTGGGAATGCCCTCGCATCTCAAGCCTGACCTACTTTGCAAGTCACCCACGCCCACACATCTTTCTGACATCTTTCTCAATTCCACCACCGATCGCCCGATGATGTGAGAGCCCGACCTTGGCAATCGGCGAGATCCTGCAAGCCAATCTCGAAAGCTTGCAGGACATCAAAGCAGCGACCGAGGTTTGCCCCAAGGCACGCTTTTCCGAAGGGCATCAGTGCCTTGCCGAGTGTTGGAAGAGGCTTCTGGCTTTAGCATTGGATCTGGGCTCGGACCAAGGGCACAGTCACATAGTACTAGCGCCCCTTCTTCGAAGTTTCAAGCTGCGGGCACTCTTGCACCCACTTTGACCTCTGCCATGCTCTGTCCTGCAGGCGCACAGGTCATATTTCCTGAGATGGCTCCACAAAGGCCACCACTGAACCTGGTGTGCGCGGTTGGCTCAGTTTCGGGTTTACAAGGTGGAGCGTCCAGTGAATAGTGCGGATTGGACCTGGCAGTGCGAAGCTGTGTCTAACGCAAAAGCAGCACCTGTCAACAGAGCATGTCAGATCTCCGGTGGGATTTTCGCACAGGAAGGTGACGCTTTGGGCTTCGTCGATCTTGAGCCGAAGCTTTAGTGCCGTCAGCTCCGAAGCTTCCTCTCCCCCTGTGCGCAGAACATCCCGGCTGGTTTAAGTACAGCCGCCTCTTGAACCAGAGTTCAGGCCAGGCCCGGTCGGGCGACCTTAGGGGCTATGTCTCTGCGTCTTTCGGGCTGAGGGGAAGTGTGCTCTTGGCAGCAGGGGGGCAACACAGAGACTCAAAGAAGCCCAGCACACTCTAGCGCGCTCCGCTCCTGTTCTTGTTCTCAGCAGGCAGTGACGAAGCGCCGGCGGCCCAGTGTTCTTTTTTACCGCCACCAGAGTAAGGCTTCCATTCATGGTTCGGCTGCTGCCTTCGGCATCTGTGAGCAAGTAGTGTATTTAGTGTGATGATCCTGCTGATGATGATGCTTGTGGTGATGATGACGGCGAACGCCGCGATGCTGCAGAAAGGTACGTATCGCCACCAACATCGTCATCACCAGCATCAACATCGCCATTATCATCGCCTTTGCAGTCCTCCTCCTCCTCCTTCTCATCATCATGGTCATCGTCATCACCGTCCTCATCATCATCACCGTCATCATCATCGCCACCACCATCATCATCATCATCATCACCATAGCCAAGACTAGTTCATAGACATGACGTACCGGCATTCTTTTCGCAGCTGGCAAAATTGCTGCGTGACGAGTTCTTTGGTAGTTGCAAGTTGCTGCTGCATTGTGCTAGATTGTTGCTTTTTCCTTCTCTCTCTCTCTCTCCGAGTTGTGCTCATGTTTCCGTGCCCACTGCTTGTTCCACCTCTACATTTCTACAATGAATCTCTACAATGAATTCGTTGCCGAGGGAGACTGTGATCCCTGCTCGGGCCTCAGCATGTGCATCTGCACGACTCTGCAGCGCTGTCTGTAGGTGTTCCGCCCCAGCCGCATGGCTCTCTTACATCCTTCAGACTCCTTGTCAGCACATGCTTGCTATGTGATAGGTGGCTGCGGTGGTAGGTCTCATGTCTAGCCGAGCCACTTGCCGGGTGCTGTTGCACCAGACAAGCGAGCTGTCGGCTTTCGGCTTCGTTTTTGACAGCAGAACTTCCAAGGGGTAAGTCACCATTGTGCTGCATTTGCATGATGTGTCAAGCTTGGTGGGAGGCCTTCAGGACCGAGGACAGTGAACAGTGCATTGTCGGCCCTTCAGGAAGCGAAAGTCAGCCGGCTTTACAAAAACGTAGATGCTTGGCTGCAGCCACGGGTGCAGATTGAATTGGCTGTGTTGATCTGTGTTGACTTTGCTCGGTTGATATCTTCAGTTTTAAGCCTTTAAGCCGTGTTACCACAGCGCATGGGCGCATGGGGTTCTCAGGGACTACGTGCACGGGAGAGAACCGTCGCAGTCGCAAGGTCGTAGAGAAGCATCGGCTGAAAGAGCAGAGGGATGCAAAGGGCTGCACACGGGGAGACACAGTTCATGTGCAAGTAGACTGGCAGAGTGGGGAGCCAGAAGCAGTGATTCGGCATGGAAGACACTGGATGTCAGATCAACGGCGACGTGCTGGCGACGTACAAAAGGACCCCCACGAGGCCAGTCCTGAGGGTGCTGGCATGCCGTCATATTCCGTCTGAAGTTGTAGCGAGCGTTGCGGATGAAATGTCTTGCGCACATGTTGTTTTTGTGGTGTTGTAACGTTGTGCTTGTGGTTTGCAGGCTCGGCTTGGTCGCCGTAACACACGACGGCCCCATCCTAGCCATTGACACGCCTGGTGTTGTCAGAGTGGGCAGCGCCTTGGTTGAATTCTCAGGGTGGGGCTTTGCCTGCACACCTTTCTTCACGGCATTCTTGAGGTGCAAGGCTTCGAGATCGGGCCCTCTTTGTGCTTCAACTTCCCAAGGTGACTCTAGACATGTGGCTGGTGTTTAGGCCCTATCATTTCCGTGCCTTACAGGCCTGCGCAACTAACAGCCCCCTGTCTTCTGATGAGCTCCGCAGCCACAGTCAGTTCTTTTGGTGCCAGCTGAACTGAGAGGCTGCATCATCAGGCCTTCTGGGTGTAGAGCATCGGGGAATCTGGGTGAGTGTACGTTGAGCAGAAGGCTCTAAGGCTTCGCAGCTTCTGCTGTAGCGGTTTTGTCAAAATGAGGAGCGAGATGCCCCAGGTCTCATCTAGACACGCCAAGCATCGTAGTGCCAACAGGGAGCTGGGGAAGGGATGCGCTACCACCCCTGCTGAACGACAGAATGTATGTGTATATATATATATATAGATAGATATATATATACATATATATATATATAGAGATATGTATGTATATATATATATATACATACATATACATACAGCATATCGAGACTGGCGTCTGTGGACTCGCCGGTACTACGCGAGCCGCTCTAGAGCCACCACTCCAGGATTCCCTCACTGATATTTTTGTGCATTAGACAAGGTGCCTATGCTATACCGACCAGCAATTTCTTGTCAGAGCCCAAGAACATAGTGCTGGTGGTTGGTGATGAGACTTGCAGAGGGTTTTGATGTGATAGTCTCTGCACTTGAAAGCAGGGCCGGGGGGCAGTATGATATGGTCATGCTGCATGCCATATGCTCTCTGCAGGTAGCGCAGATCCTTATGCGACTGTCCAACCCTCAACCACTCGCGCTCTCCGAAGCAAGTCTGTCGCCAAGGCTGGGGCAAAATCACAATCACAACTTTGACAGGCGCCTGTCAGCCAAGGCAAGCTTCTACTTGGGTCGTTCCGGGCACCGTTCTTTGCGGGTTTCAGTGCATTCGGTCAGTGTCAGCCATGTAACGACTTCTCCGAGCGGGTTTGCAGGCCTTCGGCTGAAAGGCTTTTCCATGTGACAGAGCTTTACGGGGCACTGCGGTCTGCACAGCCATTCCAAGTGTCCAGTTCCAATACTGTTCCAACACTGCCCTGCTGTGCACAGTCGAGCCGCTCCCAGAATCCTGACCAGAAGGTTATTGTTGGCACAGCCATATATCATCGATTACACGCCCTGAACGGTTCACATGTCTTAGATCAAAGCCAGGCGCAGGGTCGAGCCGCCAAGCTTGCCGAATGCCTCTGTCGAGCGATAGACAATCCTCCATGTCCCATAAACAGCGAGCCGTCGAGATTGTCTTGCGTCAAACTTACCCATCATAACCCCTAACAGACGCGTGCATTGCAGCGTTTTACCCTAACCCGTCCTTTCTGGAAGGTGGAGCTCAGCCCGCTCCTAACGTTGCACGACACCGACGTCGATGCTGGCCTCAACGGCGGGTTTCGGTGACAGCGGGATTCAAACAAAGCTCGGGCTAGGGTGAAGCATGTGCATCGCCTTCAGAGCAACTATGGACACACCGGCAAAGCTAGAGCAGAACGAGCAGGAATCGGTCGACCCAAGTTAGCATGACGCAGTTTTTCATATTTGTTCATGACATGGGCAGGGCTCTTTGGCATGTGTGCACTCAGCCCACTTATTCTGGTCCCGAAGGGTCAGTAAGTGCCCCAAGTCGAGCTGCCTTCCGCGACCTCTACGCATAGTCTGCCCTGGGGGCTAAAGCTTGGCCCTTAGGTCTTCCCAATCGCCCCGAAATGGCGTCCACGATTGAACCCTTACAGCGAGAACTGCCTTCCGACCTGGCCGAGCCCGAGGAAGTCTTCTATTTTGGAGACCTGGACTTTCCTCAGGACCGCTTCTTTCGGCTGAATCTTTGGGTCAGCACTCCGCAGGTATTTGTCTGATTGATTTCGCAGATCGTTTTGGAATACAAAGCAAAGCCACGCTTGAAGCCGACCCCTGGTGGTTGCTGCCCAGGGGATTCTGCGCCAACACGATCACCACCACCCGACTGTGCAACCCATTGTAAGAGTCCGTGGTGACAAGGGTAGCTTGTTCTGATATTGCCCCCCCCATACAGTCATAAGTTCACTGTTTGTCCTTCTTTCGACTTTAACCCTGCATGAGAGGCACAGAGGTAAGATGGCCTGCCAAATCCAAGCACTTTTCTGGCTCCTCTCGCACGCTTCAGCCGGAGCCGTGGGGTATTCAGGATGAGGCCGAGGGCATCCACGCCGGACCCCCGGGTCGTCCTACAGCATCAGAAAGACGAACTGGAGTTGGAAGAGCGGAACTTACACATAAACAATGATAAACCTCGGCCTTTTGGCGCGAAGTCCTGAAGTCATGAGCATGCGGAACTCGGAGCGTATCCTGAGACAAAGCAGCGAGACTAAGTAGGCAGCTCTGGACCAAAGAACCTTCGAAGCCAGTCTTTCCACAGCCGCGAATCCGGCAAAGAGACTCGGGCCATTCAACCTGGCTTCGCATGTTTCATGGCTTGGTCTGAATTTTCATGCGTAAATGTTGCGGCTTTCGGGCTTGCACCCTCTGTCGGACGCTTGCCTCTATAACAATAAGAACTCGCTGGTGTGAGCAGTTCCAAGGCGAGCCAGCTGGAGGCGTTCGAGTAGTGTCGGGGTTGGCACCTCAGATGGCGCGACACGATCGTTAGAGCCGAAGGGATCCGGCCTTGGGGCTCCTACGCCAAGACATGCCATGGTCTGCGGGTCCGTCTTCGCGTGTCCTGCCCAAGCCCAGAATAGCCATATGGAGGTATCTCATCTTACCTAACACCGCGGGTGCATGGGCATGCTCTTCCGCTAGTACTGGTGTGCGTTGTTTCTTTTGAATTTTGCCACAGACTGCAGGGGAAGCCCTCGAAGAGGCTGAAGGGATATCTCGCATCCGAAGAGCTCAAGTCGCCTGTGAGGACAATGCCATCGCCAGCATCGAGCCAGTGAGTTTGTATTTCTTCTGCCCATACAGCGACATGCTCCTACTCTGCAGCCACGAAATGTTTTCCCAGACAGTGTTCGGGGCATGGCTATCTGATAATTTCTATATTTCAGACTTGATAATGCACTTGAACCAAAGGTTCAGCGCTACTTCGCGTGGTTGTTCCATCTCAAAAATCGGAGCCCAACTGCGCAAACACCGCAAAGACAGTTGTAAAGAGCTTGATTTTGCAGTTCTTTCCAGCAGCATTGGGCTTGCCTTGCTCAGTTGCATCATCGGCGGTCAGTCTTGGCTATTGAGGCATGGAGTGGCATGCCTCCAAGACAGAATCGTTTCTCCCTATGCCCTGTCTGGACCGCCGCAGCAGCGCTCGGCTGCAGATGCGGCAAGCCCAAACTTCATCCGCCTGGTGCGAAGTGCCCTTCATCCTCGCACTGGAGTGATCCCGTGTAATTGAGCTGGAAGTGAACCCGATGTGAGGATCCTGTGGGGCAGCTGCCAGGCCCAGCTTTGGACCGTGACTTGTACATAACCAGGTCCGGCTCACGGCGCTTTTAATTATGCATTTTTCACCGAAAGCACGGGCCTCCATGTCGGCTGGCGTGCTTAGGCTCGGGGCACTTCGAGCCTGGGCGTGGGCACCAGCGGGTGGCGCATACATGAATTCTGCAATGTGCAAGCAGTATTGTCAAGACTCGCAGCCGGTTTCGTTGTATATTGGCGGCATCCAAAGCTTAGAAGCCAAGAAGGTCCTTTGCTCGTTTCACCGATGACGAACTGATGGGCTTCCGCTACAGCAACTGGCTCTGCCAGGACAAGGCCAAGTTTTGAAAGACTTCCCTCACATATGTAAGCAAACAGGTAAGCATGTGCAGACACCTGCCTGTACACATGCACGCATGCACACGCATGCACGCTAACAGACACACACACACAAATCACACACACACACACATATATATATATATATATATATATGAGAGAGGCGCCTCTAGGGTCTATCTGACGCCCTGTTGCCTTCCTATACACTTAATTAGAATATATATAATTGAAACAATTGAAATAATTGAAATCGGGAACCCAGGATTTCAATTATTTCAATTCACGGGG